TCTTCATACATATTCAGTGACATACAGAATTAATCATAGTTTAGTTTGTAACAATATAACATTTTTAAAAAAAGTGTCAGGCAGCACAGGTCTTAGTTTTTAACTTTTTATTAATGTACATTTCTTTGCATCCTGTTTAAAATAAAGCCAAATTAACACATCATCATTAATTTTTGTTGCAAATTGTCTTACATCTGCAGTAACAGAAGAACATTGACCTGTTTCCTGACTCTCCCTGTATAACCCAGTATAACACAGGTTGCGGACCTGCTGGAGGGCCTCCGCTGTATGCCGCTCCCTTTGCAGTGTGAAAGCATCTTTGAGGTTCCGGTCCGACACTGGCTGGTGGCCCCGGCCCTGCAGAAAAACGGCCAGTACTGCACCAGGAAATCTCCAACCCTGGATGAAGAGCAAGAGGAGGAGGAGGAGGAGGAGACGACAGATGAAACTGACAAAGGTGAAACACAGACTTGTTGTTTTCCTTTATGTGGTCTGGACTCTGATGTTTTTTAACATTTCCTAAATTGAAAATTTAACTGATGTTACAGAAGAGGTGACCACAGATGGAAGTCCAGCCTTCGGGAGTGTTCCTTATATCGCCAGACCTCACCCTGTACAGTTAAGCCATACAGGTAAGATTTTACTTCCACAGTCCCAATGTAAAAAGTTATAAATGATGATGACGCACTTGAATGATCATTGTCTACTCTTTTATTTTCAGCGTTCCTGGTAAAACTGAGGAAGTGTGTTCAGTAGCTGCTCTTCCTTTAAGGAGCCCTGGATGAAAATGATATCATATTCTAACCCTACTGTAAATAATCTGTAAATAAAACAAATGATGTGATGTCAGTGTTTGCTTTAGTAACAAATCTCAAAAAGATCAGTTCAACCTTTTATTGAAAACTCAACAGGCATCATTTGTATCATTTAAGGGGCACAACAGAAACATCACTAACACACACTCAGTAGAATTCCAGTACAGTGAGCGACATGTATTTATCAGTGGCCAAACTTCAATTCATTCAAAAGTGACTTTTTCCCCCATTTTTAATAAGTGGTTGTCCAAAAAATACTGAAGTGCTTTGGTAA